TCTTTCACTAATCCCCTTCTCCCCATTAGCTTTTGCTGTCCCCGCAATATTTACGTCCTGGGCAATGACTGGGAACCATATTGCTGACGGCATAATTTCCATTTCGTAACGCACTGCCAATTTCCACGTGGACGCTGGAGGAGCTAACTTTGACTACCTTTTTTACTGACGCCTCCTGGACCATAAAGACACCAGCTCTGTATCCTAATAACCCAGAAGCTTGCACCCTCTGCAAGGTGACCGCTAGGAAGTGCGCTCCAGACTGCAAGTGCTCAGGACATTTGGATCACGGAAGAGCAACCACTTCAGACATCGACCCACCAGTGCCACGTCCAGGGGAGAGGGAGGAATTGGAAAAGCCATTTAAAAGCCCAGCAAGCTTTTCTGGTGTGCAAGTTAATGTACATCTACACCGATCCTGTAGTGCCTGCCTCCCTCAGGCTTGGAGGGTTTGATTGAGGCATTCGAAGAGGCTCATTCTCTTGATAATCACCATAGCTTGTGCCTCTGGAGCACCAGCTTGGTGCCAAGGACATGCAGGGTGAATCCCTTGAAATCTGACAGTCATATTAAAGTTCCGCCATTATTGCTACTTGACTGATGAGAAACTGAGGTCCAGGCAGGTTAAGTCAACTATTATAGTCTATCTGGGCAGCACAAACATCACTGAAATCAATTTCTTTCAACTCAGCGGAAAAAGGACACAGTACACCAGAGATTCAGTGAAGCCTCATTCTTTAATCACACATGGTTCCGCAGATCAGATGCCTCTCCTCCCTTCATCCCACTCTGCCTCCCTCCGCGGCCAGAGGCCCCGCCCTCCATCTGGTTGCTGATACCTCCCCTTCCCTCTACAAACGCCCCTGCGCCAACCTGCATCTCCCAAGCCCATCCTGGGTGTGTAGTCTGTCCCAGTCTGTGGCTTGGGTGACTGGGGCAGGTCACACCGGGCCTCTCAGCCTGAGCTTTGCTCTGTAATGCATTTCTTGCCTCCAATACACACCACACAGGACACAGCTGCCACTAAACATCAAGGACCTTTTATCTGTATCACCAACACGGCAACACCTTCCCGGCCACAGGACCCCGGGCTAGGCCCCAGCCTGCGATTGTTTCTCCAACTTGCTCACAACCCTGTGGGTTCCCTTCCAGGCTCTGCACCGCGGCCCCTCCGGCCGGACCCCCCGCCCCAGCACCCTAGAGCATTTCACTTCAGGCCTGTCCTTCAATTTCACCTGGTTAAATAGGCTAGTGGATCCCACAGCTTCAAGCCCCTCAGAACCCCTCGCAGCCCTTGTTTGTTTTCCGCTTCCTCCGGCAGAGGTCGTGTCCCTGCCTCACCACCAGGCTCTCCCTGGCTGGCACCTGGGACGTCATTGAGGGTGAGCTGCCTAGCTGCCCCTGCTGCCTTGCTGTTCACAGGCTGACCCCACCTGCTCTCACCCTTCCTGAGGCAGTGCCCGCACCTCGTCTACCCCTTCGGCAAACACGGTCCCATCAGGGCCAAGTGTCGAGAAGGAAAGTCCGAAAGTGTGACAGTAAACGCCATTAAAGTCCGACTCAGGAAACACAAGCTGCACGCGGGGATGCCGTCAGATTGCCCCCTGGCCCCCGAGCTGCGATACCCACCAGCCCAAGCAGGCTCTTTTCAGACAGTCCAAGGCATCTGATAAATGGTGAGTTTTTCTAATTCTGGGCTCCAAGGCCCAAAGGAGCTGCTCAAGACAGCATGCTGCATTCCCAGGTGCCGAGTGGGGATGGAGCGCCAGGCCACGGCCCACACCAGCGGCCAGGTGCCCTTGGAGTTGCTCCTGAGGTCTTTTGG